CCCCCCCCCACAATGCACTGGGGTGCCGTCCCAGTGCTGCCTCGATCCAGAACATTCCACCACAATATCAAATGGCTACATTTACATATCATCAGTCACCCCCCATTCCACTTAAGCTCAAGGCACTTCAAAGACACTGGCGCTCATATTTCTGCAGATAAGCGTTAAATTTTTATGAGTATCGGGAGAGACTCGCCTTCTCGCAGAGCGAGTTCGGGGAGGGGGCGGGCGGGGGGTTTCATACGCCAAACGCTTATCTCATACATCTGCAGGCACGTCTCAGCCCCCGAATTACCTTCGATCCCGTCACCCCTGCCGTCCGCTGATAACGGCAGCCAACTTTAATTCTCTTTTAAGCTCTAACTCCCCCCATCTGCACGGCCCGCCGTCAGCCGATCGGCCGATCTCCTTCGCCTGTCACGTGGACGCGCTGCGGATGCCGTTATCGAGTCGTGACTCCGTGAGCGGCCTGTCGAGAGCTCGAGCGGATTCGGGTGGAACTGCGCCACTGGGGAGCGCCGTTACAGCAGCTATGCGGCCATTTGACACGCTGCGGGTTCCTATTCGCAGCAGCAGGAGGCACTGGTGAACCAACCTTTTCCCACCACAAGGTGGCCTCACAGCCGAGGACTCAGAGGCTAGTGCGAGATACTGTACAAAAAAAAAAAAAAAAAACACCCACAGCTTCCCAAAATGGCTGCTGAATGTCAGGCTCAGCAATAAACCCTGCCCCCCCCGCCATGCGATTAGCCCTAAAATAAGTCCTTCCGAACTCATGGGTACCTCGCTGCGTTTGCCGACCCTCCTGGCAACGATGAGCTGGATCATGCCCCGCTTGTTGCCCTCGGTGGACATGGACTTGCGCAGAGTCTCCATGGCATCCTGGTTGGTCTTGCACAGCAGCGACTCACCGTTCACCGCAATCAGCTGATCGTTCACCCGGAGCCTCCCATCCTGTGGACATTGGGGGGCTGTGAGGACCCCCTGCAGAGGTGCTTGGAATACCCAGGGAGAGGTATTGTCATAGTCTTTTCAATAATGAAAACGTATGATCATATGAGCATCTCACATGACTGCTCGGGGAGGCAGCATTCCCCACATGGATGGGGTGCTTCGGTGGTGGTGGTGGTGGGGGGGGGGGGGGGGGGGGGGGGGGGGGGGGGGGGGGGGGGGGGGGGGGGGGGGGGGGGGGGGGGGGGGGGGGGGGGGGGGGGGGGGGGGGGGGGGGGGGGGTACTTGCCTTACACGCCGCACCGCCATTGATGATGGACTTGACAAAGATGCCCAGATCGGCGTGGTTCTCCTTGGATCGGTTGCCCTTGACGCTGACCCCCAGCCCCGCAGAACCGGAATCGTTCAGCGGGACCTCAAAGGTGAGGAACTCCCGGGTGCCATCCGGGGTCAGAACCAGCTCCTCCTCGGTGGCTTTCTATAAAGGGGGGGACATGTCGTTACACCGAGGACGTGTGTGTGTGTGTGTGTGTGTGTGTGTGTGTGTGTGTGTGTGTGTGAGCCAGAGCTGAGAAAGAGACGCTCAGGAAAATGAAACAAACTGCATCCAACCCAAGACAAATACCCGCTCCATCCCCCCCCCCCGACGTTTCACGCTCGAACAGAGGGCAAGAATCACCCCTCCCCAGAACAGGGCCGCTTCGCGCTCTAATTACCAACATTTGCAGAACAAAAAAAAAAAAAAAAACACACAATAAAGTCATTTGCAGAGCCAAGATAAAAGGAGAAACTTGCCACAATATCACGGGCTACAAAGGAGCACACTGCCTTATCTTCATGCAGACGCGGGAAAGAACAAAAGCAGCTAAACGCGGGAGAAGTGTGAATTCTGATCCTCAACAGCTGCGAAGGGCTGGGAGGGGGGGGGGCGTTGTATGAGGTGTGAGAGCAGCCGCCCCCCGCCCCCGTCAAGGCAGCGGCGTTTCCAAACAGGCCCACGCCGGCCACTCCAATCGCCAGCCCGTTCACCTTGGCGACCGCTCAATAGCGCCGGATCTCCATGCAGTGGCAGCCCATTCGGGGCCAGCCGACCGTTCAGGTGTGCATTTTCCTGTCCGCTGAAGGGGACGCACCCCCATGCCCTACTGCTGCGGAGGAATGCATCAAACTGTCAGTGTTTTAAACCAACCCAGCCCTCGAGGCCTCAATCGCGGTGATACAAAAAGGGATGAGGAGTGAGAACGGGCTCAAAAGCCAGGTGACAAATAAGGTGTTGAAGGAGGAAAGAGAGAGCGAGAGAGACAGATAGAGAGGAAGAGAGAGAGGAAGAGGGAAAAGACAGACAGGGACAGCAAGAGAGAGAGAGACAGAAAGATAGGCAGAAAAAAAGAGAAAGACAGAGAGAGAGACAGAGACAAAGAGAGTGAGATGAAACATTGAAAGAAAAAGACCGGGAGAATGAGAGAGAGATAGAAGAGAAAGAAAGAAAGATAGAGAGAAAGAAAAAGGGAGAAAAGGAGAGAGAGGGCTCTTCTATCCAAATTCATTTCCCGGCACCACCACCACCCGCGATCTCCAGGCCCCCGTTGTGCTCTCAGCTAGAGAAGAGTACCATCTTGGAGCATGTTGACTCCTGGGCAGATGATTAAATATTTTGCCACAACATAATCATCTTGGTAATTAGGGGCACCTTCCGCTTAATCAACGACAGCAGCCTGACGCGGGGACCCAGGTGAGCTGCCGGGAGTGTCAGAGACACGTCATTGGCTGAGGGAAAGGCGGTAAAAACCACTGACTGTAAGGCCCCAGCCACCTCCTTAGTCATAATGCTGTGTGATTACCCTGGCTACTCTGGGCCCCTCCCACAGTCACCACCACCCCCCCCCCCCCCCCCCCCCACACCCTGGAAGAAACCACCACCCCGCCATAAAGGGATCATCACCGGCCATTAAGCACGCAGCTAATTAATTAATTAACCAATTAATCGATGGGACCGTTGGTGGCCATTAGGAGCAGCTGCCCATGTGTCGGGGGGGCGGGCGGGGACAGCAGGCCAACACACCAAGGCTGAGAGAAGCTCTTCACACGCACACACACACACACACACACACACACACAGACACTGAAATGCCCACATACTCTCTGGCACATCAGAGAGGCCTTAAACAATTAGTTAGTTGCTTTAAATTTTTTAAGCACCCCCCTCCCCCAAATCTGGCCGACATAAAGGTCACTGCGACTAAAGCTGAAAGGCACAAAGGGAGTAGTGAAGGGTGTAATTACTGTGGGCCCGGGTTCGATAAGCGTACCACTGCATTTCCCTGCTCTGTTTCCACCTGGCAACGGCTGATAGAGTCTGAATATTAAGGAGCTGGGGGGGATGTTGGAGTTTGTGTTAGACACTGGGGGGGGGGGCACCATTGTACAGTAACCTTTTACAGTAAAGGCTCTGCATTTGTGCATTTGCGGTTCCGGTTAATGGCGAGTTGGCCGTACACCATGAAAGGAATACTTCTGGGGTTTGCTGTAAGATCAGAATCTCGTGCAAACAGCACGTGAGCAAAAAAAAAACCCCAGAAAAATCACATTTTTCTTGGCTTGGGTACACTGTGCATCTCAGTAACCAGCCTTACTCTCATGGTAGCTGTGTCTGTGAGAGTGGAATCTTGCATTTCTCATAGTAACTTTTAAACTTATCAGTGCCGTTAATTTAGCATTTTTAATAATGACTCCCAAAAGCAGTGCTCCCAGTGCGTACAGTAATAACTCTGTACATACAGGGGCACAATTTAGATGGTTTGTATATTATATAAAATGTCTTGATAGGAGAAGTTGGCCATAAGCAGTAGAACAAGGGGAGTCAGAGACACTGCCAAGACCCATGGAACCGACACTACACCCCCCCTCCCCAAAACTCAGCAGAAGACGATGGCCCTGGTCATCGAACTCCATCCAGGGAGGAGGGCGAGACACAGACACACATAAATGTTGTGAAGCTGTTGGGTTACTTATACAGAATAACCATGAGCATGTGCAGAAATTAATTAAAGGGGGGGGGGGGGGGGGTTGTCCTGAGTCATGTGACCCCACATTTACCAATATGGGCAGAATCTGGGCCACACTTATTACTCTCATTGAGAGAGAGCAAAGTGCTTCGGCATTCTAGCGGAATTGCAGATGAAGTTCAGGCTGGCAGTGGCTGCAAGGCGCTACCTCATCGCCCGGCTGTCAGCGTCTGGCACAGACTCATGGCAAACAGGAAGATTCCCCGTAAATACGGCCCCCACCCCGGAGCAGGGAGCAAAGGTGAGCGGGATCAAGGCGGATGAGTGAGCCGGGGGGGCAGGCTGAGGGACAGGCGAGCGCAGAGTGGAGACGACCTCCCTGTAAAGGAGGTCACCCACCTCCTCAGAAAGTCCCCAGTGGCACTGGGGCGGGGCGGGGGTGCATGACACTTTGCTGAAATGAGTCAGAGCTTCTCTGTACTTCCGCAGAAACACCATCAATCCAGAGCCTCAGCACTCCAAGACTGGCATGATTCGACGTGTGTGACCATTATAGTGCTCTCACAGCTCCGACTCTCAAACCGGACAGGACCGGATCAACCTGCCAGGAACGCCGGCATCCTCCATATCCCAGGACACCACAGGAAAGACCAGCTGTCCAACTTCACCCACAGCAAACATTCTAGAAAATTCTGGAAACAACAGGTGGGGCAGATTTATCGGCAAATGCTCCTAATTGCACCAATTACTGCGACGTGTCCGACCGCATTACGAAGAATGGCCGTGATGGAGGCTTGCCTGTCAGCATAGAAACGTCCAGGCCTGAGGCTCAGATGGAATTATAATCATAACGCATGCGAGCCCGCTGTTGCCGGCCTCTCCTCTCGAAAGGAGGCATAAATCCAGCCGTCACGCCGTCCTGAAAGCTCAAATTAATTGGACAATTAAGATGTTTCACAGCGTGATAGCTGCGGTTCCTAATGGGTCTCCAACAAGCCAGATATCATTGCAGAGAGGAATTTAATGTACTGTTTAATTTTACTTCTGAATTATTAGATCTGGGGGATGGAGGTACTCAGGCCAACCATCGGAGCATCGGAGAGAAGGAGGAGCGACAAGAAGACTTGGACGTCAAATAAGCAGTGAAGCATGAACACAGTGGAGTTGGCTGGGTTGGGGGGGGGGGCGGGCGGACAGACACCGCTACTGGGCTGGAGACACCACGACTTGTTCACCAAAACTGAGAAAGGCCACAAACGGACACTGACAAAAGACCGAGGCCCCCCAACGAGATCACAAGCACTTAGGACAAACAGCCCCACTACCAGAGAAGTTTAACATGGTACTGATACAGTAACAAAGATCACAATCGTGTAAAATAACCCCCAAAACTTCTGCTGCAAACCCTCTCGAGCACATCAAGGACAGGCACAAGCACAGCAAATGAATCGCGCCTGGAGTCGTTCTACGCTACATAAACCCCAGAACCGCGCAAGAGGATTTATTACAGCAAGCTTGGTAACGCCTCCCTGGGAGAATTAGGAACGGATCTATAATTACCACACAGAGAGCTGCACGATTGATGCTCAGGTTGTTTTCTCAAATGGTTTATCCATTGTTACACCAAGCAGAAAGGCAGCGTTTCAATAACAATATCGGCTGTTTGTTCTCCTGCCCGTTGCCGGGAGGTTTATAACCCATGCATAAAATTCGCATAAATAATGGTTTATTTATCGGCTTTGCAACTTTTACAGGGAAAGATTCTGAATGGCCCACCGGGGAGACTGGTCACAAAGCTGCTCACGACAGAGGAAGATTATTCTGGCGTAATTATGGAAAAGGAGAATATTATGGGTCAGCGTTTCGTTTAGATGGCTTGTACGCTTAGTAGCTGAACAATCTTTTGTAAGGGACCAATAAGCCCGAATTCTAGAGGAACAGGACAGATAAACTGGTACAAGAAGGAAGCACAGCAATGAACATGAGTGCTAAAGATAGCGTGACACTCGTGTAGAGTGTTCAGGACAATATAACACGCGTCTTTTAGGATAGAATGTCAGAATAAAGTGCAAGAACAGCTGAACACTTGACTGTGGAGATTCAAGAAGGTCAAATAAAGGTGTGTGTATCCAGGGCAGCATAATACTGGTGTGGTGTTCAGTAGTGCTCAGGGCAATAACACACAGGTGAGGTGTTCAGTAGTGTTCAGAGTTGCAAGACATACGTGTGAGTAGCACTGTGGACCTTATAAGGGGGGAATGTGGCGAGCTCTTACCAAAAGTCTTGGCCCTTGCATCTCTGGAGGCTCTGCTCTCTAGAAGAGTCAGAAATAAAATCAGAAATATAAATAAACCACAGCAACAGCACAGAAACTTGCAGAAGAGCGAGCTTCAGTCCGCGGGCGGCAGCCGTCCTTCACCGCCGGAGCACGCTTCGTAGCGGGAACCGTGTGACTGGCCAACCGTGACCAGGAGGGCTATTTATCCGGAAGGGGACAACGGGAGATGCCATCATCTCTGCTGGGAGCCCGCAGGGGGGCGTGGTGGAGGATGTGGCACTGCAAGTGGCCGCATGTGGGGGGATGCGTGACAATGGGGGAGCAGCGGCGTGCGTGTGTGTGTGTGTGTGTGTGCGTGTGTGTGCTTCACCGCCTGCCACTAATTACACCAGAAGCTTATTCTGCCCCCCACCTCCAGACCCCTCTACTGGTTCCATCTGGGAAGTGATCCACAAATGTGCTGGGAGAATCAGAGCCCAGAGACCTGCAGTGGGAAGGGATTATCACATGTTGTCAGTCACCGCTTCATCCAATGAACCCAGCTGGGTGGGGCCTAATTCCCCTAACACTACTGTCCTGTATTTTTCTTCCACTGAGAAAATGCATGTCAACTGGCAGCAGTCCCTCCAGCCCCCAGCAGCCCCAAACCAGCTGAGGTCCCACCCCGCTGCGCTGGCCAACAATCAATGTCCAAAGGAGCCATTAATCTAGGCCAGATGATTCACATACATGCTCTCACGTCTTTTCAGGTTGGGGGGGATGGGGGGGGCTCACTGGAGGAGACACCTCCATGATGTTGAGGGTCTGCATCCAGGGGACCCGATCTCTCCCACTGGGCACACATGCAACCCCGTGCCCCCCCCCCAAACACATGTACACACTCTCACACTCATGCACACAAACACACAGCTGAACACGGATGCTCGTGCTATGGAAACCATATCCCATAAAAATGTTAAACGTCGCGAAGCCAACCGAAGAGCTGAATCCTTCCAGTAACATCTTCCAATTCCGGAACATTACCAAAATACACGTGTGCAACCTCCCCCCCCCTCCCCGACAGAGAAACCCCCTCCTCAGGCAACTGACAGCCAAAGAATAAGAGAGCTGGTCTCTACACGGCTTTATTGGCAATAAGGCTCAGCATCAGCACGCTGGCCCCCCTAATCTGATAGCTATGGACACCCCCTGTATTCATTATTGAAATCCTTTAACGGCATGGGGGGTGCCTACACATGTTAATATGACAACAGGAGTGATGGCAGCTCAGCCCCCCCCCCCCCAGCAAAAGCCCGGTCACCATTGTATTTCCACAATGGGGTTTTAATGAAGATGCCGGCACATGTCAAAGAAGCTGGGGACCAAACAGTATGTCACATCACTAAGGTGACACTTGCTTTAAGATGTGGCCTTTGCTGTTTGGCAGACTGCTGGAGTTCCAGTCCTGGTATGGAGCTGGTCCTGCCGCATGCTGGAAGATACTCTCCTCTCCTCACTGTGGAGTATTACACAGTGATGAGTGCACACCTCGCACCTGTACCTTACGAGCTAAACAGACAGAACCCAGCAGCTGGCCTCTAATTAGTGGCGGGGTGTCCGGCCTCTGATTGTAGCCTGACCAATCGGCCTCTGATTGGTGCCTCGGTTTTCCACTACAAGACTCAGAATTCATGCAAGCAGCAGAGTCCTTTGAAGTCAGCAAGATCCAACTCCCCCTACCCCCAGCCATGCATTAAGCATGAAGGATGGTCTGCTCGCCAACCCCGCCCCCTGCCTGCACGCGGACGGCCTCCAGGCCCGGGCCACTGAGAGATAGCCGGCCGTGATTAGCGAGGCACAGCAACCTGCTTGTCACACAGACCACAGCAATCAGTGGAACCGTGTTGGTGGCAGGCATCAGGCGGACCCCTTGGCCATCTGCTCCTCGAGCAGTGAAAGTCACCCAGCCAGAAGTCAGACACGGCGCTCGGAGTCACATGTGAACACAGCCGGAGCCTTCAGTCTAAAACGGAGGGAATTATTTTTCCCAGTAAAACACGGAATAACAACAAGGAGCCACTCCACGACGAAGGCGGGACGATGTCTGCGACCTCAAGGGGGGCCCTGATTGTGCGGGGGCGTCTCACTTACCACCTCTCTGGGCAGGAAGGCGTCCTCCTGTCTGAGGACCAGCAGCCCCACCATCCCGCCCATCGGTGTCCCCCGGAGCAAAGCCACGACTTCCTCCTGGGTCTTCCCGTTGATGTCCACGCCATTCACCTGTCACCAGGGGGAGTGGATGGGGTGACGATCAGAAGGAGCAGGATGAAGGTCAGAAGTGAGAGGATAAAGATGTGCCACCCCCGAAATCTCATTCATGAAAGCACAGGTCATTCCCCAAGCAGCATACCAACTGGACCGGGAAGCTCTCGACCCCTACATGGGCACAGATGCATCTCATAGCAAGTCGTGGGTTCACAGCAGCTGAGGCATAAAGATGTAGACGGGGAACCCCAGGAAGGACAAACAGAAGCAGGAAATCCCGATAGAGGCCTGGATGAAATGAACCCAGCACCGAGCAGCCCGTGAGAAAGCCCTTGTGAGCCCCTCCAGGAAAGGGTAGGGGAGATTCGGGGGCGTAAAGCTCCTCCATGCACTCCCACCCCCCCTCTAACCTCCAGCAGCCGGTCGCCTGCTTTCAGTCGGCCATCTTGGATTGCAGCCCCGCGAGGCAGGATGTTTTTCACGTAGATGGGTGCGGTGCCCCCTATGGGCACATCGCGGGATGTGATGCTGAAGCCCAAGCCTTCTGGACCTGTGGGGGAGGATTAAGGAGACAGAGAGTCGCTGAATGCAGTCGGCTACGAGTCCTCGCTGTCCAACCCGGAAATCCCACAGCCAGCCTCTTCTTGAGTCGCAAAACCTACGTATACGATCCTGGGCCCAGGGCCTCAGCGGCTGACTTTCAGAGGGGGGCATTAGGCTAGTCCCGCGGCAGTATTATGGGATGTTAACGGCACCGCAGTGGGCAGGGAAGCCCTATACCTCGGCGAGTCAGACAGACTGAGGGCTGTTGCACTTGTGGACAGCGGCCCTAAATATTGCGGAATGTAACATCTGCCAGGAAGATGCACAGCAATGCCAGAACTATAGGGGGGAGGGCCCATCTGCAACCGGAAAATGTGTAAGACAACAAGGAATAAGTGAGTCTCCCAAATTTAAGTTGGGGGGGCACTACTTACAGACAAGCCCAGGAACCTGATTAATGCAGAACCAAATGCCACCCACTGTCCGCAAGCCTGACCGACCATGAGGGGATTCGGTCCGACGACAGGCTTCGCCCAGTCCAACAGCCGGGACTGTGATACTGTCAATGAAGCATGGTTGAATTTTCACCAAAACTACTCTCATTAGACGTAAATCACTGGAGCAACTGGCACTACGGACACCCCCACGAGCGCCCCACGCCGGGGCCGGGACAGTCAAACGGTCCCGCTCCACCTGGTACCAGACAATTACTACAATCAAAGCCGGCATCAGATAATTACGGAAATCAAACGGCACCATGCGAGGAGATGCCATCTAAGGATTCATGATCGGCTAATTAGGAGCCAGCGCTTCAAACCAGCTGGCATCGAGTAATCGCTGACGTCTGATTCGCTCCCGGTACAGTGAGATGAAAGCAACTGAAAGGCCAGCTAAAATGGGCCCTGTTAGAAAGGGAGGTGTCAGAGCAGAACATCCGGAACGTTCTGCCGGAGGCATCTGGAACGTTATCTAAGGAGACACCCATCCTCTGCCACTGGCTTCAGACATCAGCAGGCACACGGACACGGGGCCACATCATCTCGGAGGCCCGTCCTCCAGTTTACGGTCGGCGGCCTGCCTTTCTTCTTCAGGTGGGTTCGGGAGCCCACCGCCGTGACACTTAGCATTAATAAACAATCTCACAGCCTGACTTCCCCCCCCCTCCCTCCCCCCATGCCTTCACGTTCCCCCCATCCATCTGCTTTATGCAAGCTGAGGATAAGAGGAAGGGACTCCAGCTAGGAGCATATTCAGAGTGTTTTAAATGCACGTCAGGCAGCGCGGCGGACGCCTCTCAGGCAGCGCGATGGACGCCTCTCTGGCTGGCTGGCCTACCCGGGCTTCCACAGTGCAGAATTGATGGGATTTGGACTCTGAAGGACCCCTGGGAGATACCCCACGGAAACGCCTAAAACCTTGAACCGAAATATTAATGGCAGATATTTATAGATTTAAAAGCAATAATTATCATTCAGCACATCTATACTGTACATGCTAAGCTGGCAGAGGACACAGAATGAATGTGTACTTATTGATTGAACGCCTTTGTAAATTAGCAGTGTTTAGTACCTAATTTATGAATAAAGGTGATGACACTGTACCTCCCTTTTTAGGGCAACAGTGAGCCTCACTATAGGTCATTCTTCTGTTCTGGAATGTTCCATAGGGACGCTAATCGAGGGGAGATACATAGGTGTGACATTACCTTTCTTCAGCTGCATGGTGAACCTCCGGCCAACCTTCTTGGTATAGCCAGACGAGGGTGCAGAGCCGAGCGGCCTCTGGGGGGAGCCAGCGGGCTTGCTGGTGGGGGCACCCGCGTGAGGTAGCGGAGAGAAGAAGGGCCCCGGTGGGAGCAGCCTCTGGGGTGTGTGGTCCAGTGAATCGGGGCTCAGACGGCCACTCATCTCACTTTGGGAGAGTCGCTCGTACTCGGCTTTGCTGGCCGCTGGGACAACGTGGAAGAGGATGGCAGGCGACCTCATGGCCTGACGGAACATGTTCTGTGCTCTGATGGGGGGGGGGGAGAAGGCAAGGGGTGAAAGGGAGGGGAGATAAAGAGAGAGGGGTTAAGGGAGATTGAGGGGAAAGAGTGAGAGAGGTAGAGAAAAGAAGAGAGGGGAGAGAGAGGCGGGGGAGAGACCATGCAGGTAACCTCAACCTGGCTTTCAGGGCAACTTGACATTACGGCTTAATGCTGACAGTGATGCACAGCGCCCCCTGCAGTCTGCAGAATCCCTGCATGAGCATGACATGCCAGAAGTACATGCAGTGGATTCTCATTGTGATGGAGAACACAGTGTTTACACCATGAAAATAGGTCAGGCAGCAGCCTACGTGATTCTGAGACACTGTGACAGTCTGTACTGGAGGACAGCGACCCCCGGGCATGCCGGAAATGGGCAGGCGGGCAAGCAGAGAGGCCAGGGGGGAAACGCGCGCGGTGTGACCTGAGCAAATCTTCCGGAAGACGCCCCATTTCACTGTGTAATAACACACGCGCACGCGCAGAGCTTGGCCTCGCAGCACGGCGGAAGGCTCCGGAATCGACCTCCATTCGTATGGTAATACAGAGAATGGAGTAAACAGCTAGACTACAGCGTAATGAGCACTGCCACGACACTGCGGCAATCAGCCGGCGCGGGGGCCTGATTGAATTATAAATTACACATCAACGCGTCATTACATTTAATTACATTAATCGCCTCCAGATATTTACTGACACAAAACAATTCCGAGAGATAAGAGTATCACTCCGGATCATCCACACGGCTCAACATGCCAGGGAAGAGACACTTTTCATGCCGCTGGTTCCCACCAATCCGTGGTTCTGAATTTGTGGGGTTTTTTATGTGCGTGTGCGTTTTTGCAGATGCAGGATTTGGCATGGCAAGGGAATCCGCCACCATCTATGGCTGGTGGGGGCTAAGGTCTGTGGACGCTCCTCTGCCTCTGGGGGGAGCTTGTGAGTCAGAGAGCCCTGAGGGTGGCATCACGGCATTGTTAATTATGGCTGACCTGTTGGGGAGGGGGGGGGGGGGGGGGG